AGTAGCACATTTTAAAGATCCATTTTAAGGTCTTGCTTGTCATTCCCCCTGGGGCTTAGACTGTTCCTTGATGTTGAGGGATTTGGCTGTGGTGCCCTGCACAAGGTAGCTCTTTATTGTTCCATCAGTACATAGATGCCATAATACAAAGAGCCAGATGCTGTGAACCTAAAAAAGGTGCCACTGTGGAGCTGAATGCAAAAGGGAGCCAGGAGGTGTCTAATAGTCTACCTACTGGAAGGCTTTGCTTTTAAGCAGCCATGCATGTAACCTCTGTGGTCCTGCTTACCTTTTCTTGGTAAGACTGACACAGGTGACTCCTTTTTGAAACTGAATAGCTTTCTCTCCTTGTGTCTGAATACATTTTTACTTCTAAAAACATAGCTAATTACCTTTCTGTGAGTTGGCCATTGTGACCCAGGGATGAGAAAGTGAGTAAGACAGATTTTGGTACCAGAAATGGGAATGTTACCCTGACTACCTGACCGTGTGACTTAGAAGCCTTTGGAAGTGGTTCGTGGGACAAGTTTGAAAAGGTTTGGAGATGCTGACTGGAGAAGTCAGAGCTCAGAAAATCACAATGCAATAAATAAGTAGGCAGTAAGTAAAGGCCAGGTGCAGGAGGCGTCAGCTGGGAGCAGCAGTTCCATTGGTAGTTGGTGGACTCGAGACCACGTGTCTTGTGCTCTGGCAGAAAATTTGTCTGCATTTTACTCATGTCCTGAGACTTTACTGGAAACTGAGATTTTCGTGGCAGACTTACTAAACTGGCAGAAGGAATTTCAAGGCAGCCCAGTGGCATTGTTACTGCTGGTATATTTTAGTCATCTACTCTGAGAAGCAGGACCAAAAATGCAGAGCTGTGTAATATGAAAAAAATTGTGTGTGGCCAGAAAGGAAGCACAGATGCTGTAAAAATTTTGCCTTGAGGAGGGCTTGGTTGGTAAAAAGATTAGCATTAAAAAGAAGGTAAATATTTTGCATTGCAAAAACAGGAATGATAACCTGAGGACATCTAAGAGATCTGCATGACTCCAGCCATTGCAGGCTCAAGGGTACAAAACTGTAAAGCTTTCATTTGTGAAGAGAGCCTTAGGATTACGAAGTAACTCCCCCCCCTTTTTTAATGTATTTGGTAGAGGGTCTCACTATGCAGCTTGGACTTGTAGTGATCCTCCTGTTTTCAGCCTCCCCAGCACTGGGGTTACATCTGGTCTCGCCAGCCAGCTCAGTGTGTCCTTGGGTGAGGCTGGCATGGCATGTGGTGCCGGGGATCAAACCCAGGTCCCTGCACTTGCCTAAGCAGATGCTTATTCTGCTGAGCTATCTACCTGGCCCCCCCTAACTTCTTAGATGTACTAAATTCCCACATCTCACAACTCTGAGAAAGGGACTTGAGTATAGAGGAGGTTAAGGTAGGAAAGTTTTATTAAAAGAAAGCTCCTGAGAGACAAAAGTCCTAAAAGAGGCATTGTTGCTGAAGCTCTTTGTGTACGGGGTTTCTATACAGTAAAATCACATCACACATTACCTTTCGTCAAACTGCTATCAGCCTGTAGGATTATAAGTACAGGTATCTGATTTTTTTTTTTTTTTTTTAATTTGGATACAGGGTCTCACTATGCAGTTCAGACTCAGTGATCCTTCTGTCTCAGCCTCCTCAGCCCTGGGATTATAGGTGTGTGCCACCATGCTCAGTTTCAGGGCCAGCATGGCATGTGGTGTCGGGATTGAACTGGGGTCCTTGTGCTTGCCAGTCAGGTGCTTGGACCACTGTAGTGGATTTCTAACTGGTGGTCAGTTTATTATATCCAGATGAATTAAACTATTATGGTGTTGGGTGCGGGGGGCCACCTGAGGACTGTTGCTAGCAGCATAAAGGCAGAACAGGAGAAGCTGCCAAAAAATGCTCTTAAGGATGCTGTTAGGAGAAGCTTTTGGAGCTGTTGGAAGCTGCTCATTCTATTGGACTGTTCTGCTGGAGGACCTTGTCATGCTGGCTTTCCTGATGAACTTTGCAGAAGCTTTGGTCCTCATCTTGAGCATCACTTCCTAGCTCTGGAGGGGAAGATGGTGCACTGCTCAGCCTCATGAAGAAGCTTGTCGCATTGCTTTTCCTGATGGGAACTTGGCTTTCCTCATTACTGGAGGAGCTCAGAACCTCACTGTTGCTGAGGACAGTTGTGGTACTTTTGGGAAAGCTCTGGTGCATACCTTGACTGTTGCTTCCTAGCTCCAGTTCAGATCCCTCACCTTGCTAGCACAGATCCTTCATCCCATTGGCATAGACTTCCTAGCTTCCACCACCAACCTTTGGGCCTTCCCAGCAGAGATCTGTGAAGTGGGCTTGCATAAGACTTTTTATGGGCTCTAGGCATTCAGTTGGACTTATGGGACGCATTGTTATGAGCTTTAGGTTTTCAGCTGGACTCACACAGGATATTAGGATCTAGGTCCTGTACTTTTTGTATGTGATTCTTGGGTTATTCATTACAAAATACTATTAAAAGGTGTGTCCTGTATTATATTGTTCCTTTTGCAAAAACCCCAAACCGTGACTACCTCTGAGCTATCTCCCCAGCCCCCACTTATCTGATACTGATCTAAAAGAAAAACACAGGTACATGGTCAGGGTACATAGCATTGAGAAGAAAAACAACACTTCTGGAAGGGATAGGAGGGAAGTTCAGAGTGTTCTGGTCATCTTTCTACATGTTTGTGGTATTGATTAGGCTTTACCGGACGAAATGGTGCTGGTTACAGTAGAGCTTTGAGCTGTTCTCTGGGGAGGGGGCAGGCCTAGCTTGGATGATGACTGCATCTTAGGGCTTAGTTTCTATCAATTTAGGCCTCAACTACAGGCCCAGTTTGCCTCTTCTTTATTTTGTTTTGGGCCTAGTCTTTTTCAAATTGCCTGTCAGTCTTTACCTAACGTAGCTATCTCTGACAGTAGGACACCCTATTCAAAAAAGGCCACCTAGGAAATTGGTTCTCGGGATGCCATTCGCCTTGCTTTGCCATCCAGGCACTCAGATCTGCAGTCATGATCCAAGGGCACCTGGCTACTGCTCAGGCTAGTGGCAGATCTTGGCATCATCCACGTTTCTGGTTCTACACACATGCAGGATGGAAAAGTTGTGGCTAGGGAGGCTTCCACCCAGATTTCCGAAGGAGGTGTGGGAGGCCAGGCAGTTCGTTTCTGAGTGGGTAGTGTGTGAAGCTGTAAAAATAAAGTTGAAGGTGCAGTGGAGACCCCAGGAAGTTGGAGAAGCCTAGAACATGGAATGTCTGCTGAGAAAGACTGCAGGCAGTGATCAAAACCACCTCAAGAGAGGGGCCCTGGGGGCTACAACTGGCAGTGCCAAAGGGCTGGGGTGCCTACACCCTTTGGAGCTTTCATTTGTGCCCCAAGAGCTGAAGATCAAACTGGTCTGTTAGTAAAAGAACTTGACTTGTTTTTATGGCACCTAAGGGTGTGCTAGTGTAATTTTACATTGGTTCAGTAGTGGAATTTTTTAGGAACTCCTTACAAGTGTTCTAAGGAGCTTCTTTGTGGTATAAGGTTTGAATCAGTGGTTGTTTTCATCCTTGGAGACATCATGGTAGGAGGATAAGGAAAAAGATAGATGCATGCATCCATCCTTTCTTTTCTTTTCTTTTCTTTTCTTTTCTTTTCTTTTCTTTTCTTTTCTTTTCTTTTCTTTTCTTTTCTTTCTTTCTGTTACTGGGGATGGAACTCAACTTTTTCTTTCCAGGCAGGTGCTATGCTACTGAGCTATATCCCCAGCCTGAAAAAGACATACTTTACCTTTGGTGGGACCTACCTTGTCCTGGGCTGGGGAGACAGCTCAGTAGAATGGTCCTGAGTTCAATCCCCAATACTGAAAAAAAAAAAAAAAAAATCCCCTGTTCTTTTTAAGTGCCATGTTATTATTTTAACTTACTGTAACAAGGGCTTTTTGAAAATTGGGGGGATTTTTCCCTCCCAGCTTCCTACAGCAGTTGTCTTCTGCAGGGAAGGGGCACCCCCCGACCTGGCCCAGGGCCAGGAGGAACCCTGGAACCCACTGCAGGCCATGCCGCTGGGTGCCTGTGCCTGTGCCCCCCTCTTGGCTCCCCATCTTGCTGCCTCCTCTGTGTGACCCTGAAGCTGTTGTCAGTAAGGGAAGACTTTTCTGGCCTGGATGTCTTCCTGGTTTGGGCAGAATAAAAATAAACCCCTCCCTTGCGTCACCACTGCTTTTCTCTGTGTTGACTGCACCTGATACTGCCTGAGTCAGGCCCTGGCCTCAGACTTTGATAACGTTACCAGTTTTATTTTACTCATGAGTATTGGTGATCCGATTTTGCTATTTTTGGGTTAGTAGTCCTCATGTACTACCGTCTAAGGGCTTGAGAATAACTCTGATGTGAGATAAGGTGAATGTTCCCTTCAGTTTGTCATTTACATTTTATCGTTAGGCTTTTTCTGTTGTGTGTGTAGAAGTATAAACCTCGTATACAGTCAGTCCTGTAGTCTTTTATAAAAACATAATCAGTGTGAGATATTACATTTGTAGTGTTCTTAGGAAAGCTGGTGTTTTAAATTTGGAGTTGTCATTTATAGCTTAGAAATTGGTAAATAGTTAAACCACTCAGAACCTTAAGTAGGTATTTTCAAATATTAACATAACTCTTGAGTTGGGATAATGCTCATTTTTATTCCATATTAACTTGAATTATATATTTTTTCTCTTTATATTACTTTATTTTTCTGCTATTTTTCTTTTGATGTATATTTATTTTTAAGAAACAGGTTAAAAATTTGAAAGAATATTGAATTTAGATTTGCTTCCATATTTTGTCTTCCTTCATGATAATGTTTCATTAATCATAGTAGGAATAATTTGAGTTATCAGAATATTGACATTTTTTAATACAAGTATGTTCAGACGGACAGAAAACATTTTATGGAAACTGAAGGCACAGTGTTTTCAATTGTATAAAATGCTTCCTTTTAGATAAGTGATGAAGAGAAGAGTCATCGAGAACAGGACATTTTTGCCTCATCACCGAGTTTAAGTGGTACTCATTTGGAATTTGAATCTGTGTATAAGGTATGTAAATGTTTAAAGTATTTTCTGTTATTTGTTAAATTTGTTCCAGTAAGGTTTATATGCAGATTTAACTAATCCCTGGTATAGCCTTCCTGGGTGGCCTCATCGTGTGCTGATGTCAGTGCTCATCGTGGTCTTCCAAACACAGACTCTGTCCTGATGCTGCTGGGGCTCAGACTGCTTTGCATGCATCTTGATCTTTAAAGGAGTAGTCTTGAGCTGGGGACGTAGCCCGTGATAGAGTTCATGGCTGTCATGTGTAAGGCTCTGAATTTGATCTCCAGCACTGCAGTAATAAACAAAAATAAAATGAAATACTAAATGAATGTGCTCCCCTATCACTTGGGCTCTCATACCTGGCCTAGGGCTGTCTCCTGCAGGGCACCTTCTCCTCCTGCTGGGTGCAGCATTGTGGTCGAATTGCTGCCATCACTGCTGTGGTGTTTTAGCACCCAGCTTTGGACTGCTTCCTGTTGTGGTGTCTGGAATCCCAGTGGGCTCTGGCCTCAGGCCTGCTTGCTTCCCTGTGGCAGTGATTTCCTTCTGAGTTAGCTTCCTTTGTGCTGGACCGCCTTGGCTCTCCCCATTTCTCAGTACAGATACTTCCTTTGTATTAGCCCCACCAAATGGCTTTTAGAATGATAGCCCTGAAGGGGGTGAGGAGAGAGCTGAGATTCAATTTAAAATTTGATAACTGCAAGCCCTCTATTCCCTTTGAAAGATGCTGATCATCATTGCTGAGTGCCAGTGGTTTAAAATTCTGCCTCCACATTAGCTCCTAATTCCAGCTTCCCTGTTTCTACCTGTTGGGCCATCATTCAGTCAGCCTTTCAAGCTCGAAGTATGGGAATCAATATTTATCCCTCCCATATCACACATTTCCCATTACTCTGCCTTCATACCATCTTTTTGGTTCTACTTGGGCATTTTTATTTCCATTGTGACTGTCCCAGTAAGCTAGGCTCATGGAGTGGTATAGCTAAAGAGCCTGTAAGGATCATTTAGCTCATCTATTCGTCCTCTCTCCCAGTTTTATGAATTCAGCTGCTAAGGTTTAGAGACACTTATTAAATTTACTAAGTCATAAATCTAGTCGGTAGCAGATGACTGGATTCTAGACTTGGACTAAAACTCTTGCTTCTAAACTTTTGTACCTTCTTGGCTGTGTTAGCACTTACCCTAAACTCTCTTTCCTGTTCCTCTTGTATGTGTTGTGGATCCACATGTTGGTACAGCTGTCCGTGGTGCCACTCTGTAGGCTGTTTGGCTTTCCATGTGTGTGAACTCCTTGAGGGCAAAGACTGTTGTGGTCAGAGAAATGAGTACATTATCAGAAGCTACCTGGCTAAAAGAAGACATCTGTTTATATGTGAGGTATTATCAGATATAAAGTTATAGGAATCAGATGTCACTTTTCCCTTGAATGTGGGTGAAGAGGCAATTTAGGGGCCAGTTTTTACTTGATTTTTGTCTCATTTTAAAAAAGACAAAAAAAGTGAGAATGATTACACTTAATTAAGTCTTAAATTTTATTTTTTTTAAATACATACCATATTTATAGCAAATAATTATTTTAATAGCAAACCTGAATGCTTATTACAGTGGTACCTTGGTTCACAAACTCGATTTGTTGTATGGGGAAGACGGCCGTGGTCTTCTTTGTCATCTGATGCTGAGTTCGTGAACCACAGCAAAATTTTGCAGAATACTTTTGTTTGCAAATGGAATTTTTTGTGAACAGAAGCATTTGTGAACTGAGGTATGAGTATATTTCTATTCCTTAGTGTTAAGGTTAATTCTTCCAATATATTTCTCTAGAAAAAAATGGGAATGTAGGTGGAGAAATTTGAGATTATTTTGATAACAATAAGTATTTAGCACTGAATATGTTGTATACAAATTAGGACTTTATTAAGTACAGAGTAAAATGTGGACTATGTCTGTGAGGTGAGTATAACATGTCTACAAGTCTTGAGCTATGAGTTTGAAATCCTAGACATTGCAGTTTGTAAATTCAAAAGAAAGCATTCGAATTTGTGTTAGTCAGCTTTCTATTTCTGTGACAGAATATCTGATCAGATCAGATGAGAGGTCTATTTGGCTCAAGGTTTTCAGAGGATTCAGTCCATGTTTGTGTGTTCCTATTGCTTCTGGGCTCTGGTGAGGCAAACCACCATGTTAGGGAGGGAGTGGGGGTGCATTTGGGCTTAGCTCATGGGGGACAGGAGGTCGAAAGAGGAATAGCCCAGAAGAAGGGGCGAGGAACAATATGTAGTCCCCAACAGCATATCCCCTTGACCCAGCCCTTTAACTGGGTCTCCTGAATGCCTGAGTCTCCGTGTCCTCCCAATGGTGCCATCAGTTTATCAGTTCATCCGTAGATTAGTCTACAAGGATCATGATCCAGTTATCTTCCAAAATCTTGAGTTTTTGGACATGAACATTTTGGGGGACATTTGAGGTCTAGACAATAATAGCTATTTGTTGTCATTATTTTTGAAACAGCTACTCCGAAACAAAGTTGTTTTTTTTTTTTTTTTTTGGCAGAACCGGGGATTGAACTCAGGCCCTTGTGCTTGCCAGGAAAGTGCTTATTCCACTGAGCCATTTCCCTGGCCCCTAACAAAGTTTTGCTAATAGTTAAGTTTTAAGAAATATAAATTGGTCTTTGTGGATGGTTTTAAACTGGCCAGGACTAATGAATTTCTTTGTTTAGATTAATGTTTATGAAGACTAGGAGGATTTCATAATTACAGGTAAGTCATTGTGATTGTCATAATTGACTTACTTTTATGGTTTCATCTGAATTCAGATCCCTTTTGCTGATGCCCTGGATTTGTTCCGAGGAAGGCGAGTCTATTTGGAAGATGGTTTTGCTTATGTGCCACTTAAGGACATTGTAGCAATTATCCTCAATGAATTTAGAGCAAAGTTGTCCAAGGCTTTGGCAGTAAGTATTTCACTTCATTTCCTTGTTGACACTTTCAGTTAAGTACCCTTGGAAGTTTTTTTCTGTCTTCTTTAGGGAATAAGTTAATTTCATGGTCATTGCTTGTGCTATTTTCTTAATTCTAGAACACCTGGATTTTTATTTGTTAATATTTACACTTTATAGTAGTTGGTTTTCTAACCTTATAGTCTTCTACAGTAGTAGTGATGAACTGATTAATTTTATGAATGACCTCTGTGGATTTCAAGGTCATATTGTCTTTTCCATGGAGCTGGCTTTTAACAATCAGGGTGCTCTTTGGTGTATTTGAATTTCTGGTCTGAATTAGGATTTTCTGTGAGTAGAGGACAATATAGAGGGCAACAGTTTCTTCTTTGTTTTCTTGTCATGCTAGGCATTGAATTTAGGGCCTTACACATGCTAGGGAAGGTATACTCTACCACAGAGCTATATCCCTATAGGTAGAAGAAGGTCTAACTATAAAAACAATGCCATGCAAATGCTACAATAAGTAGCCCACTACTGTGTGAAATTGGAGGTAGCTATGTTGATCAAATAAAGGATAAATACATTTGAAGTAGTTGATGAAAATGTGACTCTTAAGTGGTGGTATCTTAGAACTAAGCACATTTTGTATTGTTGTCCTCTAATCTAGGTCTAGTGTTTTTTTTTTCTTTTTTAAACTACTTTTTTGTATTTAACATGGGAGAGGACTTCAAAGTATAATGATGAGGCATTTTTCTACTGATTATTATGTATGCCTCTCCTCTTGAGTTAAAGGTTGTAGTATTTTCTGGTCTAAATAATTTTTATTGTGGGGTTACCTAAACATATCATCCATTTATATCAGCATTTAGGAAGACTAAGATAGTAGCTGTGTTTTTTGTACTGAGGATTGCCAGGTAAGGGCTTATGCTGCTGAGCTATCTCCCCAGCCCTTCTGTTTTTGTTGTTTGAGGCAATTTATGAAAATACTTCATAGATGTTTAATTGTGTGTATTTTGAATGTAGGGCCTCACACATGCTATGGAAAAAGAATTTAACTATCAAAATAAAAAAAATATTGATAGGCTAATTCCTAATTCTCAGATTAAATTCACATTTCACCAGTTGTCTTAGCTGTGTCCTTTATTTCAAAAGAATCCAAAGCAAAATCATGCATGTTACTTAGTTGTCATGCCTTTTTAGTCTACTTTAGGCTTGACAGATTCTTTGTTTCTCCTTGATTTCATGGGCGTGGTTATTTTTGAACATTGGCTACTTTTCAAGCTACATATTTTCAGCAAGAATATCATCGACAAGGTGCTATGTTCTTTTTTATTGTGTTCTATAAAGTGGTGATTTATTGTAAATCTCATTGACATTATCAACATTTGTTCATTCATTCTATTGTTCATAGACATTTTGGCTTTTTTTTTTTTTTTAGTTCTTACTAGTACTGCTTCTCTGAACATTCTAGTCCATCTTTTGTCAGATGGGTTTCTGCTGGCTGTATGTCTCAGAGTGGATTTGTAGGATAGTCAGTGTTCTGGGGTTCAGATTTACTTTAAATGAGTTTCCCACGCTTACTAGAGTGTTGTATAGCATTTGGGTTTCAGTGTCTTGGACTTGAAAGGAGAGGACTGTGACTTGTGGTCTTAGGCAGAGCTCAGCTTTTCCTGCTGTGCAGCAGGGCCAGGCCTCCTGAGGGAGACGCAGGAGGCCTGTGCCTGATCAGGAAGGAGAGGGTAGAGTCCTCTCTTCCTCGAGTACCTGTCCTGAAAGCTGAGGAAAGGGCAAGAAGGAAGGCAAGGAGTTCCTTTTAGTGGTGGTGTTTAGTAGAAGTCTTAACCTACTGCTATGGTCTCTTCAGTACTGTCTTTTCCAGTGGTGGCGTCTTTGACCTTGGCATATATAATTGAAAATTCAAATTTATAAATGAAAATTGTCTTGTAGGATGAGAAAAAGTACCCTAAAGTAGATTTTTAAAAAGAATTTTAATTTGTGGTAGAGGTTGAAATAAAAAATACCGGGGAAAGTTGTAAATTGATAAAAGAGCTTAATTCAGGTAGTACGTGAAAGCTTGTTCTTCACCTGTGATTGTGTGATTTTTTACAGTGCAGCTAATCTGGGTTTTAAAAACGCTTTAAGACTTAAAATTTTGACAGTTCCTTCTCCTTTGATTTTTTTTTTTTTTTTTTAATGTAACCGGGGATTGAGTCCTTCTCCTTTGATCTGAGCTCTCTTTACCCTGAAGACCCATTGAGTTGCAGCTATGGCCTACCTTCCCTAGGAAGCCTTCCTTAAGTCCCAAGATTGTGCTGTGTGTGTCCTTGTGCTCCTACAGAATTCTGCACACCCCACATTATGATGAAACTAGTCTAATGATGTGTTCCCCTCACCCCCCTAAAATATAAGAGTAAGGGCTCTGTGTTAATTCAAATATTTTATTTAGTGTAGTGTGTGGCACATAGGGTCAGTTCTTAGTGATATTCTTTGCACTGATAGGTCCTGGGAGAGAGTATGATGTTTCTTTTGTTTGTGGTTAGCAGTTTGTGCATATCTCATCTTCTCCTCACTGCACACCTCCATGACGACAGGATTGTTACCTGCTGCATACAGATGAGTAGGAGGCAGCTTGGGCAGTCTTGGTCATTTATCCAGGTCTGTGCCGGTTAGTAATGCTGGAGTGGTGACTGGACCTAAGGCTTGTGAGTTTTAGGGCCTTTTGATAATGACTGTGCTTGTGTAAGGAGCTGGATAATTGGGGATTTAGGTCTTCAGGCTCTGAGGAGTATTGAAAGGTCTAGTTATAGGTGAAGGGTGGATTTGGAGCTATGACACGATAGATTAATGAGCAGGTAGTGAAGAGAGACAGGTAATTTTTATGTTTCACTCATATATAATAGTCTGAGAACGTGTAATTTGTCCCTGCATTTAATGGTTTGTTTTAAATAACTTTATTTCTTTATCCATGCATTGTTTTGTATGTAAGGAGACAGTAATTAAGACAGGTGTTATTTCCTCACTTATAGAGCTTCTCCTAATAGAAGAAAATAGAAAATTATCAGAAATAAATGATAACTATATTATATATGATACAAAGGAGTCAGTTGAACAAATACAGAAAATGCCTTCTAGGCAGGGAACAGTCAGTAGTGCAGAGGTCCTGAACAGGGAACTTTGGCATTTCTCAGAATAAAAAAAGGCAGCAGCATTGTAAGCCAGAGGAATAGCCTAAAATGAAGTTGTACTGGCTTAATGAAGGACTTACTAAGACTCTGAATAAAGCACAATAAAGGAGTTTATTTTTTAAAAGTTTAGTGGAGCTGGGCACAGGGGCTCACGTCGTAATTTCAGCACTCAAGGGGCTGAGATGGTAGTATTGCTGTGAATTCAAGGCCAACCTGGGCCACATACAATAGCTTGCTTAAAAAAAAAAAAAAAAAAAAAAGAAGCTTAATATAGTGGAAAGCAATTAGACACTTTTGAATAAGGGAATGAAATGATCAGATTTGTGGACTGAACACAGGGCCTTTGCACTGAGCTGATTCCCAGCCCTTTTAAACTTTTTTTTTTTTTTTTATCTCGAGCCAGTTTTCCGACTGGGCTTGAATTTGCTGTTCTTCTACCTTGGCCTCACAGTGTTGGCCTTCCCTATGTACACCACCAGGGCACCTTGACTTAGCTTTTAAGTAGAGGACTGTGTTTGCTGCCTGAATAGCTCTGGAGGGTGAAGAAAGAATGGAAGTGGGAGGACTAGTTTGGAAGTTTGTCACGTTAATCTAGGCTTGAGATGGAGACAGTGGAGATCACAACTGACAATGGATTTCAGTTATGTCTTACAAGGGTCATTGACATGGTAGATTGGTGTGAGGGGAAAAGGAGCGATCAAGCTGTGATGGTGATGATAGTAATAGCTTACACCTAACAACGAGTAGTATTTTCCAAGTGCTATTCTGGATGCCTTAAGCTAACACAT